CGTTAAAAAAGATTGATACCAAAAAATTAGAGGCATTTGAACTGTGGATGTATCGCAGAATCCTGAGAATATCATGGACCGAGAGAGTCACAAATGTCGAGGTCTTGAGAAGAATGAACAAAGAAAAGGAAGTCATATTTACAATCAAAAAACGAAAACTGCAATACTTGGGCCACATTACAAGAGGCGAAAGATATGAACTGCTTCGAATAATTATGCAAGGGAAAATAGCAGGAAAAAGGTCCATAGGAAGAAGACGAAACTCCTGGCTAAAGAATCTACGGGAATGGTATAGTTGTAGCAACAACGAATTGTTTCGGTCAGCAGTTTCGAAAATACGTATAGCCCTGATGATCGCCAACCTTCGGAACGAAGATGGCACTTGAAGAAGAAGAAGAATATAATATATATATATATATATATATATTATATATATATATATATATATATATATATATTATATATATATATTATATATATATATTATATATATGTTAGTTTGAAGTGTTTCACGGATGGAGTAATATGTTTGAACAATTATTCCGGGAAAATATCCGTTGGTCATTTTTTAATTGCAGACGTTTCGCCAAGGTCTCACTTGGCATCTTCTGTGCGTTGTCTTCGGTCTCGTAGTCGGTAACTGAATGAGCTGCGCTCAGTCCTCACTTCTTTTATATCGTGCGCTGTTCGAGCGGATCGTCGCTGATTGGCCGTATTCGTTACGCCGCTAGGCCCCGCCCCCTGGGGAGCGAAGCTCAGGCAGTCAGTTTGATGTTGGCGTCTCGAGATTATGGACTTCCAAGCTTGGGGCAGATTTAAGGAGTCGTCACGTTTGTTAAGAAGACCTTCTTTTTCAATTTCTATAGATTCTCTGATGGTTCTTGTTTTGAAGTGTTCAATGTTGGCTATTTGTTTGCAACTTTCGAAGTTTATTTTATGGCCTGTGTTATGCTCGTGTTGAAATAGAGCAGATGTTAGCTGTCTGTTGCGAATTGCTAGTTTGTGTTCCTCTAATCTTGCGGAAATTCTCCTGTTGGTTTGTCCGATGTAGGTTTGGTGACAGGTTCCACATGCAATTTTGTAAACACCCTGATTTTCCAGTTTGGTTGCATCTTTGGGGTTTCTTAAGATCGATCGAACTGTTTGCTTCGGTTTGTAGATTGTCGATATGTTCTTTTTTCGGAGAATGCGCCCTATCTTGTCGGTGGTTCCTTTCACGTATGGTAGAATAGCTCTTGGTTGATTTTTGTTGTCTTCTTGTGTGTTTTGTGTGGTCTTCCGTTGTTTCTTTATTGCTTTGTAGATGGTGTTTGAGCTGTATCCATTTTGTTTCAGTATTGTTTTTATGTTCTTGAGCTCTGCATTTCTATGTGTAGTACAGGTCAGGCTATTTGATCTTGATATCAGAGTGTCAGCTACTCCTTGTATTTGGGAAGGATGGTGGTGCGAGTTGGCTTGTAGATATCTATCGGTGTGAGTTGGTTTTCTATATACTGTGTGTTCAAATTTACCACTCGGTGTTTTTATTGCGAGAACATCTAAAAATGGAAGTTGGTTGTTATCTTCAATCTCCAGGGTGAATTGGATTTTTGGGTGTTGATTATTTAGATGATTAAGAAATTGTTCAAGTTCTACTCTTCCATGGGTCCAGATCACAAATACGTCATCTACGTATCTTAGCCACAGTTTCGGTTTTTTATCGTATGTTTTGATGGCTTTTTCTTCAAAGTAAATCATGAACATATTGGCCACCGCCGGTGATAATGATGAACCCATTGCTGCTCCATCTGTTTGTCGGTACATTTGTCCATCGTACATGAAGTATGCATTGTTGAGGCAGTGGTGAGCTAGTTCTATGATATGGTCAGGAAGGTCTTCGTATTCCGATATTAACTGGAGTGCTTCGTTTACTGGTACGTTGGTGTATAATGACTTGACATCGAAACTAGCTATAATGTCATTGTTGTTGAGTGTAGTTGAAGTCAATATTTGTGTGAAGTGGTGTGAGTTTTTAACGTATGAGGATGCCTTTTCCGTGATGGGTTGGAGTATCTGCGCTATGTACCGTTCAAGTTTTTGTAGGGGTGAATTGAATGCGCTAACGATGGGTCGCATAGGTACACCTGGCTTGTGGATTTTTGGAAGACCGTAGAATTTTGGGCATCTACTGGATTTTTCTCTTGGTATGAGTGCCTTTTTGTGTTTCGTCGATAGAGATTGTTGATTTTAGTTTTGTAGTTTCTCCAACTTGGAGAAAACTACAAAAACTAAAATCAACAAATCTCCTATCGACGAAACAACAAAAAGGGCACTCATACCAAGAGAAAAATCCAGTAGATGCCCAAAATTCTACGGTCTTCCAAAAATCCACAAGCCAGGTGTACCTATGCGACCCATCGTTAGCGCATTCAATTCACCCCTACAAAAACTTGAACGGTACATAGCGCAGATACTCCAACCCATCACGGAAAAGGCATCCTCATACGTTAAAAACTCACACCACTTCACACAAATATTGACTTCAACTACACTCAACAACAATGACATTATAGCTAGTTTCGATGTCAAGTCATTATACACCAACGTACCAGTAAACGAAGCACTCCAGTTAATATCGGAATACGAAGACCTTCCTGACCATATCATAGAACTAGCTCACCACTGCCTCAACAATGCATACTTCATGTACGATGGACAAATGTACCGACAAACAGATGGAGCAGCAATGGGTTCATCATTATCACCGGCGGTGGCCAATATGTTCATGATTTACTTTGAAGAAAAAGCCATCAAAACATACGATAAAAAACCGAAACTGTGGCTAAGATACGTAGATGACGTATTTGTGATCTGGACCCATGGAAGAGTAGAACTTGAACAATTTCTTAATCATCTAAATAATCAACACCCAAAAATCCAATTCACCCTGGAGATTGAAGATAACAACCAACTTCCATTTTTAGATGTTCTCGCAATAAAAACACCGAGTGGTAAATTTGAACACACAGTATATAGAAAACCAACTCACACCGATAGATATCTACAAGCCAACTCGCACCACCATCCTTCCCAAATACAAGGAGTAGCTGACACTCTGATATCAAGATCAAATAGCCTGACCTGTACTACACATAGAAATGCAGAGCTCAAGAACATAAAAACAATACTGAAACAAAATGGATACAGCTCAAACACCATCTACAAAGCAATAAAGAAACAACGGAAGACCACACAAAACACACAAGAAGACAACAAAAATCAACCAAGAGCTATTCTACCATACGTGAAAGGAACCACCGACAAGATAGGGCGCATTCTCCGAAAAAAGAACATATCGACAATCTACAAACCGAAGCAAACAGTTCGATCGATCTTAAGAAACCCCAAAGATGCAACCAAACTGGAAAATCAGGGTGTTTACAAAATTGCATGTGGAACCTGTCACCAAACCTACATCGGACAAACCAACAGGAGAATTTCCGCAAGATTAGAGGAACACAAACTAGCAATTCGCAACAGACAGCTAACATCTGCTCTATTTCAACACGAGCATAACACAGGCCATAAAATAAACTTCGAAAGTTGCAAACAAATAGCCAACATTGAACACTTCAAAACAAGAACCATCAGAGAATCTATAGAAATTGAAAAAGAAGGTCTTCTTAACAAACGTGACGACTCCTTAAATCTGCCCCAAGCTTGGAAGTCCATAATCTCGAGACGCCAACATCAAACTGACTGCCTGAGCTTCGCTCCCCAGGGGGCGGGGCCTAGCGGCGTAACGAATACGGCCAATCAGCGACGATCCGCTCGAACAGCGCACGATATAAAAGAAGTGAGGACTGAGCGCAGCTCATTCAGTTACCGACTACGAGACCGAAGACAACGCACAGAAGATGCCAAGTGAGACCTTGGCGAAACGTCTGCAATTAAAAAATGACCAACGGATATTTTCCCGGAATAATTGTTCAACATATATATATATATATATATATATATATATATATATATATATATATATATATATATATATTCGACCAAAAATTAATTTATAAACACGTTGAAATTATCATATATTAAAAATCTTTGTTTTTTCTAAGGAACTCAATATTTCGCTATTTATTTTATAGCTTCATCAGGAGTACACTGTAAAACAATTTTAACATTATAAACAAATAAATTTAAAAAACTTACAAAGATTAACAGATTTTACATATAAAAATTAACATTGAAGTATGTAATAAATGTCATGATTAAATTGGCTTAAGCACGTTAGTCACAGTAATAGATATGAGTAAAAAATTAAAATGACTTTAAGTGTAGAAATAAAAATAACAATAAAAGAAACGTTAGAAGAATGATATTTATTTGATGAATTATTAAAGTTGGTTGTTATTAAGGTGAACATTAGCTATTTTTAAGATTTATAGATTTTGTTCAATATATTACAATATATGTTACTTAACTGTCCAGTGTCCATTTTATAATTTAAAGTGTTTTTATTTTTGTTAATATGATACATCTCAAGAAATAATCTACTTTTGTAGTTATCAGCCTGTGCCAAAATGTGAGCTTTGTTATAGTCTAGCTTATGACCGGTGTTGTCATAGTGCTCAACTACTGAGCAAGTATTTTTTCCCAAGCGACAGTCACTTTTATGTTGTGTGATGCATTGTTTTAGCTATTGTGATGTGTGGCCAATGTAGCTATTTTGACATCGTAGACACGGTATTTCATAAACAACATTACGTTTGTATAAGGTAGGTACTGGGTCTTTGATTTTTGAAAATAGTTGTTTGATGTTCATGGTATTATATTTAGCTATACTAATATTAGGAACATTTTTAAATATGGATATGACAGAGTGAGTTAGGCCATTAATAAAGGGGAGTTTTTTATACTTGATTGATTTGTTGTTAGAATCATGAACGGGACCATCATATAAATTACTGCTAAAACCAGTTTTTTTTTAAATTTGTTAAAATTTAACATTACATTACCTGCATCGATATCTTCATGCAAAGTTCTTCCTATTAATGGAACAGCAGGAAATAGTCTCAACGTTTCCTTTATTACCCTCTCTAGATATTTCATTTTCGGTAAATCATCAGGAACAGGTCTTCTATCTGGTCCCAAAACATCAATCAACTCTTCTAAAACTTTTTGCTTAAAAAAAAAAAATTTAAGCGTTTTAGGTAAAACTATTAATAAAACAATTATAGAATATTTTATTTTCACACAAAGTTTGTTTTGAAATTGAAGTATTTTAGCGTACTAAGGCATGTTATGTTACTATAACGCCCATACAGATAAATAGCATTTCGTTTCATTCGAGCTATCAGAAGTCATCCTGATAAGAGGCGAAACCTCAAAACACGTGTAGGAGAATGGTGAAGGTCGAACTAAAAAGAAATGCAATTACCTACTTTTATTTTAACGTCTTTTCTTTACTTTAAGAGTGCAAAATATAGTGTTTGTAAGGTTAAACTGTAGATGTATTGTCGGAATAAAAGGCAATTCGTAACTTCGTCCAATAGCTTCCAATAAGCTTGGATTAGCAGTTCATCTAATTGCTTCCCATTATTGTTTGTAGTCTTTTTGACTCAAATTTTGGCATATCTTTGCGCGAATCAATTTTTGCTTGATAAAATTGACTCTTTTTTGAGACCCAACAACTGAGGAAGATGCTTCAGTTACGAGCTTCTCGAATCTACAGATTTGGTGTCGGGATTTGGTGTACAGGAAAACATAGAGATATCGATGATTTTGTCAGGAGAATCAGAAATAATATTTTTAAATCCTCTACTTTTAAACATAAAGCAATGCAGGGCAAGTCATTTTATTATTTTGCGAATTAATCAGATCAATATCGTCATCTGCATCAAAATTAATTTATGGAATAATAAAAGATCCGATATTAGACAAATTAATATTGGCCTTACTTTTTGCATTGAGAATGAGACGAAGTTCTCTTGTATGTGGGCCACTGTTATGCAGCATACAAAGCAGAACATTTTCCAGATGTACAAAATAGGCAATTCTTTGAATTACAGGGTCTACACTTTTTAAATTTCGCTCCAGTTTACTAACAATAAAACTACGTTTTATTGTTAGTAAACATGCTTTGCGCCATTTACACATGATGAGTTGCATTTAATCTGAAGCCATAAAGTAGCATAAACCGTGGCAATAAATTTGGTTAGTTCTTTTAATTCCCATGTTGGATTTTTAGTCCTAATTTAACGACTGACTCAACTTCTCAGGGTTTCTGTTCAATAAATCCACAGAACATTCTTTTGTAGACATTGCGACATAAATTTGAAACAAATATTTCTGATCGGCACTCAAATCAATTAAATAATGTTATAGTTTACAACTGGCATATTTTCACACTGCACTATTTGACTTCCTATAGTTCCTGTAAAAGCTCTTGGACCTTGAGTTTGACCGTCAAGCTTCTGGAAAAGATGCCTCAAAGGCAATTCATTAGCGTGAAACTGACAGACAAATCTATGTACAAAGCGTCCTAACTTTAAATCTAGTTGAGAAATTACACAAGTTTTCTTCCAATATTTACCACAGTTCTGTCACAGCCTACTACCACTAGATCTTCTAGATTATATCTATAACTCTCTAAAAAGTTGACAATCCTTTGACAAATGCTTAGAGCCGGTCTAGAAATGGGTACTGTGTGACCCATCGAGTTAGAATCTATGGAGAAGCTATGAGCATATTAACGTGTGTATTAAAAACGGCGCAGGTAGGTGTGGCTAACGATAATACCAATATGGCGGTGGGATCATGGCCGGACTCAATAATATAAAAACTACTATAAAAATATGGCTAGTTATTTAGAAGATTGAATCATAATCTAAAAACTGCAATATATTTTTAATAAACCATGATTTATTTATCCCGCGGTAAACACTAAAAACACGATATATTATACATAACGATAAATTAATACAGTCAAATACTATTAATTTATTCTCTGAAGTACGGCCCATTACTTTGTTTACATATTTATATACTAACCTGTACAACGTTATTCCTGAAGATTTTTTATCAGCATTGCTTCTGCTACTGCAACTACGTTCAGAACAAGAAACTATTATTATGCACAATATATTCTTACAGTTTCTATAAAAGTATTATAAAACTTAAAATATTCGAAAAACAACAAACATAAATAAACTTATACGATCTGTCAAAAGTGTCAAAACAATATTAACAATAGTATTAACAATATGGCCGAAGTGAGGTCGTTTGTAGTCACGTGATGCCCTCTCCATAGATTCTAACTCGATGGTGTGACCTAAAACTATATAACCTGACTCTCGAACTAATGAAACATCGTAGTATTTAAAATCAAATAATGTAACTCAAATTTAATTTAACAACATTTAAAGGGTTTTAAGTATTTACTGGTTCAAAACATATACATCCAGTAAGTATTAATCACATTTTTGTATTAACCTTGGTCAAAATTTTAATTTCATGTTTGCTTTAATTAAAGTGCTTATACAGTGGACAACACTGATGATGAAAAATTAATTCCAAAAGCATTCTACGAAGTAGCTTAATAAAGTGTTTTTATATGTACCTTGTCAGCTACAGGAATTTAGTTTCCTTGTGGATTTTAAATTCTTCTGATATTTCTCCCGTCATTTGTAGTCTTTTTTTCATCTCTTTGTGAGTACTTTCTATAATTTATATTTGGTTCTACGGACTACACCTATAAGGTTGTGCAAAGCCAACGTCGCTGAATATTATCTAAAGATTCCAGTCTAAAGTGCTAAGATCGATAGTGGATGCACCATATTACGTAAGTAATCAAACACTTCACTATGGCTTAAAGATTCCTTTCATCAGAGAAGAAATCCAACGAGCCACGAATTCACAAAATGGACGTACCATTCATTATGAAAATAAGATAGTAAGGAAATTATACCACAATGGTCCAGCCACAAGAAGACTAGATAAAACCTGGCGCCAAGACCTACTTCAAAACTATACCAAAATAGAATCAGGTGAGACATTATTAGATGTCTCTTCTTTCCACCGGAAACCTGTAACACATTTACTTAATACCCTGTTTTATACAAACATAATTATATGAAAAAAAGATTTAATTGTAAATATATCAAAAAATGTTTATGTAACAATAAAACACTGAAAACTTTGTTTTTAAACTTCCACAAAATTTATTTTAAATATTATCACTACAGCTGTTTCGGCTGATTGACTTTCTCAAGTTATCTATTTTGGCTTGGGTTTACAAATTTATAGTCTCTAATGAAATAGGTTGAGGAGGGGAGAACTGTTTGTCTCAAGTTGGTCATTCAGAATTATATCTCTGTTTTTTAAATTGTTGATTTCCATAGATTCTAACAAAGATAGCTTAAGGCCTTTATTTTGAATGTGAAGAATTTTAAATTTGTCATTAAAAGAATGATTATAATCTAGAAGGTGAAGTGCGTATGTCGAATCTGTTTTTCTATTCTTGAAAGCCCTTTTATGTTCTGCTATTCGTTTATCAAAGTTTCTACCAGTTTAACCGATGTAAGTTTTTGGGCAGTCGCCACATTGAAGTTTGTAACACACCACTATTTAAGTGTTTTTATTTTGGCTCTTGTTATTTTTAATATATTTGCCTAGGTTGTTATTTGTTCGGAAAGCTGGTGTTATTCCTTTCTTTTTTATGTGTTTGGCGATTTTTGTTGTTATTTTGCTGTATATGTAATCGAGCAGAAGGTACTGGGTTTATTTTTTACTGGTGGTGGAAATACTAATTTCAGGGCTTTTATGTGTAGTTTTTGATTTAACATTTTATTAATTGTTTGTTCGTTGTATCCGTTGTTGACTGCTATTTGCTTAATAAAATGTTAAATCAAAAACTACAAAAGAAAGCCCTGAAATTAGTATTTCCACCACCAGAGAAAAAACCCAGTACCTTCTGCTCGATTACATATACAGGCAATATAACAACAAAAATTGACAAACACAATAAAAAAGAAAGAAATAACACCAGCTTTCCGAACAAATAACAACCTAGGCAAATATATTAAAAATAACAAGAGCCAAAATAAAAACACTTAAATAGTGGTGTGTACAAACTTCAATGTGGCGACTGCCCAAAAACTTACATCGGTTAAACTGGTAGAAACTTTGATAAACGAATAGCAGAACATAAAAGGGCTTTCAAGAATAGAAAAACAGATTCGACATACGCACTTCACCTTCTAGATTATAATCATTCTTTTAATGACAAATTTAAAATTCTTCACATTCAAAATAAAGGCCTTAAGCTATCTTTGTTAGAATCTATGGAAATCAACAATTTAAAAAACACAGATATAATTCTGAATGACCAACTTGAGACAAACAGTTCTCCCCTCCGCAACCTATTTCATTAGAGACTATAAATTTGTAAACCCAAGCCAAAATAGATCACTTGAGAAAGGCAATCAGCCGAAACAGCTGTAGTGATAATATTTAAAATAAATTTTGTGGAATTATAGTTTATTCGTCTTCCGGGTTTGGACCGTGTCATTTGTGAGTGACCCAAAAGTGGGTTCATCTCGACGTTTCGCTACAATTGTATGTAGCTTCTTCAGGAGAACAAAAAAAGAAAAAAGAAAAGAAAGAAGAAAACAAAGAACAGGAAGATGGGTAGTTAGCAACGGTAACTCAGTTACTCACGCAACCAGAGGCGAATACTAACTACCAAGATGGGCATTTGGTCACAGTAACTCAACTACTCAACGCAGCCAGAGGTGAAAACCAAAAACCTCATATAAATTTTGTGGAAGTTTTGAAAACAAAGTTTTCAGTGTTTTATTGTTACATAAAATGAATTTCCATCAAGTAACGGTCGAATCCATCAATTATTTAAAAAATGTTTAATTTACCTGTACATCTTGGAACAAGCCCAGCATAACAAAAATGGAGCAAAGAGTAGATGCTGTTGTATCAACGGCCTAAAAATATCAGATATGCAATGTCTGTAAAAATGTATGGAAAGTAGTGTAAATAAATAATAGTTATTTATGTAAGGCTGTTTTATAGGTATACCAAAACCTAGAGATAGTGTTTTTCTCTGTTATTTACCGACAAAATGTCTCGAACTTTGGACACCTTATTCAAAATTACGTTGCCTCTAAACTAGTAGTTTTACTTATTTAATTTCTTTGAAAGTTCTTTTGAAATACCGGATTGTGCAGTTTTACGTTCTATTATAATCAAACTTTTTACGTCCATTACTTGAAAAAGTTTTTTTTCTGTAATCGTTGATTTTTTTTTCACCTTTCTGTGTCCAGTAATAATCGAGAAAAGCGTATTCAAACTTTGAAGAAAATTGCTAAAAAATACTGAAATCTAATAGTGAAACGTGTTGCTCATCATTGGCACTTCCTTCCAGCGTTATCGGCTTCGTGACGTCAAATCTCATGAACGTACGGTCAGTTAGTTCGATTTGAAACCATTTTCAAGCTATAACTGCGAAATTGTTTATTTCTTTGTGACAACAAATTGTATTTTTTTTTTGATGATAATATTTTTATGATATTTTAAATTTATTATAATTAAACACCATGGAGAATAATGCATTTATTGTCGTTAAACTACCCGATATTCTAGATCTGATGAAAGTTCGACGGCAACACAAAAATAGAAATATTATCGAATATCGTGAAATTAATAAACGCATAAAAAGAAAAATTAAGCAAGCCAAAGAATCCTGGCTTGATAATTTATGTAAAGAAATAGAAGACCTCCAAAAAAAGCATGACAGCTTCAACATGCATAAGAAACTTAAATATACTGCCGGAATTAGAAAACAGAAAATGCTCACATACTTAAAAGCGCGGACGGAAAAAATTTGTGATCATGAACAGCAGTGCAAAGAATGGGAGAGATACATCACTGACCTTTTTGACGATGCTTCTAGAGAAAATGCTCCAAATACTGCCTGTGACAACCAGTTGGACAGAGGTCCCAATATATTGAATTCGGAAGTCGAAAAGGCAATACAGCAAGCCAAAAACAATAAAGCACCTGGACTAGATCAAATCCCTGCCGAATACTTAAACTTTTGGATGAGGAAAGCATTGCCTGCTTAACCACTTTCTTCAACAAAAATTTACAACGAAGGAAAAATACCAGATGATTGGTTAGAGTCACTGTTTATAACATTACCAAAGAAAAGCAGGCCCACCAAATGCAGCGATTTTAGACTAATCAGTTTGATGAGTCACACACTGAAGATACTCTTACGAATTATACAAAACCGAGTATTCCTTCTATGCGAAAGTAAGATGGGTGATAAGCAATTTGGATTTAGAAACGGTCTAGGAACTAGAGAGGCACTATTCTGTATGCGCGTTCTATTACAAAAAAGTTGTGAATTCCGAAAGAATGTTTATGTTTGTTTCATCGACTTCGAGAAGGCGTTCGACAGAGTCCAACACAATACACTTTTCGACTGCCTACGGGCAGCAGGACTTGACCACTATGATATAAGACTGCTGAAATACTTATATTACAATCAAGTAGCCTCTATCCAAATTGGAGACAGTCCCACTGAAAAAATACCCATCAAACGTGGAGTACGGACAGGGTTGTGTTTTGTCACCCACTCTTTTTAATCTGTACTCTGAAGAAATCTTTAGGAGGCTTTGGATTACAGACAAGAGGGAGTAAGACTAGGTGGAGAAGTAATCAACAATATTAGATACGCTGACGATACAGCCATTCTTGCAGAAAGTTTACAAGATCTCCAAACATTACTAAATCTAGTCAGTGAAGCAAGTTATCGGAGAGGCCTAAAAATCAACATTTCAAAGACAAAGTGGATGGCAGTTGGAAAGATCAATATAGATCAAGGTCTGCTTTCTCTTAATGGAGAAGAGATAGAAAGGGTAAATCATTTCAAATACCTTGGCAGCTGGTTAAATGTAAATTGTGACTCTGATGAAGAGATAATATCCAGGATCGAAATATCACATAAGACTTTTATGACCTGGAAACCAGTTTTATGCAACAGAAACCTGTCAATGAATATTCGTAAGAAGGTCCTGAAATGTTATGTGTGATCGATCCTATTGTATGGTTGTGAGACATGGACGTTAAAAACCACAATGCTAAACAAGTTAGAAGCATTCGAATTATGGTGCTATAGACGAATCCTAAAGATACCGTGGGTTTCGCACACTTCCAATGAAGATGTTCTTCAAATGATCAATTCAGAACGTCTGCTCATAAACACCATACAGAGGAGAAAAACAGAATACTTCGGCCATATAATTAGAGCACCTAAATACCATTTACTTCGCATTATAATACAAGGAAAAGTGGAACGAAAGAGATGGATTGGTCGAAAGAAACTTTCATGGCTGCGTAATATTAGACAATGGTGTGGTTCCACAGTGGAAGAATTATTTCGCGCAGCAGCCGACAGAGAAAGGTTTCAGGAAATTGTAAACATGATGACGGCCAACGTCTGAATACGGACACGGCACCCAAAGAAGAAGAAACTACCCGTCGGTACCACTGTACCCGTAGTCGGTTGGCGTAAACAGTGTAGAAAAGTAAGTGATACGCCCATTTCAAATAGCAGTGTACTTTGACTGCTAAAACAGACAGTATAGATGTTTATGCCCTCAGGGCGACGATGTCACAAACCCGAGGGCCTCTGGCCTGAGGGTTTGTAAGTCACCCGAGGGCATATAGATGTAATAATACCCGCGATGCATATAAACTTTTATGTCATACTAGTTCGATATTGTATCTACAAATAAATATCTTCTAAAAAATACACAAAATTCGATTTGATTTTGACAATATATTTACTAGTATATTCTATCGTCCGTGGTATGTTGCTACGCCACGGAAATCTTGTTTTTTTATCTTTATGCCCGCGCGGGCATAAAGTACACTATCACGTAGTTGGTAACTAAGCAATAAAAACACAATAATAAACTAGTACTCGTATATATTATATAATACTCATAAAAAAAGTTTTGAATCATTTTTATGATTTATGTTATTCATCAATTATTATTAGTAAGGCGTATATGAAATGCATGTAATGTATATTAATGAACAGATAAATAAAAAATCGCTTACTGCTAAGAAAAACGTTTTTATTTCATCCATAAGTTCTCGCTCAGAGAATTTATCATTATCAATAAGATCTAAAAATGCAATAGTATCACGATCGTCCCCTAAAAGTAAAATATATTTTATGAGCACAAATAAAGAAAAAGAAGTGGCGCGAAAAAACACAACTTTTAAATTCATTATAAAAGTATTTTATTTAAGGTATGTCGTTTTGATTGCCAAACAAGCCAATCAGCGAAGGGCACTCACTTCACTGTAATTATTCTAATACATTAATGGTTCAAACCCAGCCAGAAGAAAAACTGTGTAACATAGTATGCAGTGGTGTCATGGTGCTGGAAGACGCCGGAACGCCGTTCCGGCTCTAGTAAAGAAAAGAAAAAAAAATAAATGAAGAATTTAGGTTAGGATTGGTAAATAAAACACGGATTATAGAAAACGTTCTCTATATTTCGAAACAGTACAACTATTCACTTCGCCCTCCGGGTGAATCGGTGTAGGCCTACTACTGCTTAGTGCACCAGAAAACCAGAGTGTACGGCTACTGCGCAAAAACTAGACTGTACTTCCACAGAATACACCATTCAACAAGAAGCGAAAGCTTTGTCGGTACCTTTGATGTTAGTAGGACAGAAATTTCGAAGTGACAATGACAGTTAAACTACTTAGTACACTAAGAAATGTAATGAGGAAGTCGTTCAATACTGTAGTAAAATTATAGTTACGCTGAGAAATGAAGTAATCATTAAAACTAATGTTTTTTAAGTAGATCTGTTTTGTATGAATTAAATTTTTCTGTAAAATTTAATATATCCAATATATCAATTCTGTACTGATAAATAAAAAGGTCTTAAGTCAAAAATATCGATTTGTTTTTTTAACAAACAAATTAACGTACTAAAAGTATTAGTACGTTAAAAAACCGATAAAAAGCGATTGAATTTGAGAGTTAAATTCAAAATATACATGAAAAGCGGTCGATTTCTATTACTATGTATCGAAAATAATGTATATACAAAATATGTATAACAGTATTATTCTTTTTTTGCCATTATATTATACTTTTTTTATATTGTTATACCTTTTAAGTATTAAACATGTATATGTATAACAAAATGGGTGTAATAGTATTATTATTAAAAATCACAGGCTTTAGGCGGTACATATTATCAAATATAGTAGGTGTACTGTATACAACTTTTATTCAAGTGTGATAAGTGTAGTCCATGATAACCATCTAACTTGTCTAAAGGCCCTAATTGAAAAAACTATAGAGTGCAACCGGCCACTAGTTCTAGTATTTGTTGACTATAAAAAAGCCTTTGACACTATCGAGATGGTAGCTATCTTAAGAGCTTTGAGAGATTGTAGAATCGACTACCGATATACCAGCATTATTCAACATATATATGCAAATGCCACAACAGCAATAAACCTCCACACCCCTACTCAAAAAATAAAACTAAAAGGGGAGTTAGACAAGGAGACAACATGTCACCAAAACTATTTAATGCCGTAATGCAGCAGCATTCCAGATGTTAGAATGGGAAAACAGAGGTTTGAGTGTCGATGGCAAAAGGCTGAACCACCTACGATTTGCAGATGACATAGTTCTAATAACCGACGACTTAAAGGAGGCCAACGAAATGCTACAAGATTTACAACGAGTCTCCCAAAAAGTAGGGCTGGAAATAAACTTTGCGAAAACTAAAATGATGACCAACTTAGTACCTAGTGGACCATTGAAACTAGAAAACTGGCATATTGAAACGGTTGACAAATACATATATCTGGGCCACGAAATACAAATAAGTAGAGACAACCAAACATGCGAATTATCTAGAAGAATAGCTTTAGGATGGGCAGCCTATGACAAGCTAAAAGACGTGTTTAAGGAAAACATCCCAATAAAGCTAAAGAGAAAAGCATTTTACCAGTGCGTACTTCCGGTGCTCACTTGTGGAGCTGAAACACTGACATTGACTAAAGCATCAATAAAAAAGTTACAAGTAGCACAACGAAAAATGGAAAGATCTATGCTTGGCGTAACTTTGAGAGACCGAATACGAAATGATGAGATACGGCGAAGAACTGGAGTGGAAGACGTCATAAAACGGATTACGAAGTTGAAGTGAAAATGTGCAGGACACGTCGCAAGACAGAGAGACAACAGATGGAGAAAGAAGATTTTAGAATGGCGGCCAAGGGCAGACAAGCGAAATCGTGAAAGACCACCTACCAGATGGACGGACGACATTAAAAGAATAGTGACAAACTGAATCGCAGCTGCACAGGACAGAGAAGAGTGGAGACATCTTGAGGAGACCTATGTTTGACAGGGAAAATTCTGCAATAAAATCTCAGAGGAAGAAGCAAAAAACTCCAATATCATATTTCGAAGTAGGGGAAAAAGAACCAACTTTTGTTTCTCCTTCATCATCAGCTACAGGTGAGGAAAGTAAAGATAATTCAACCAAATAGTCAAATTCAATTAAACGTTTTCCTAAACCTGATGAGTCTGTTAAACTTATGGTCACTGATTTAAAATGGCTATCTATTTGGAACCAAGAAATGTGAGAGCGAAAAAAGAAGCTTTTCCTTGGATTAATTGTAAGGAAGGAAAATATGGCTGTACTGTTTGTTAATACGTGTTACATGCGTAAAACAATTTATTTTTAATGGTAAAACTAAGGCTTCTCAACTCACATCGCTGGGAAAAGAAATTTTCGACCATAAAACATCCTCTAGTTATAAGGCGGCCAAAAAGATTGTTGAAGTAAGCAAATCCAAAACTATTGAAAAAGTCACATATGCCATGAATTTTTCGCACCTCTAAACAACAAAACTTGGTTTCAAAACTGCTTACTATTTAGCCAAGAGAAATAGACCTTACTCAGACTTCTTTGTCCTGTCAGAACTGCAAATAATGAACAATGTTGATATTGGAATTGAGCTACACTCTAGAAATACTGCTGCAGAAATAATTCACGTTTTAAGAGATATAAAAACGTTATTGTTATCGTAATTTATTGTTAACAAGTCAACAGCTGTAGGCTCAAAATCTACCCTAATAGTGTATTTAAAATATGAGTTTAGCAAAAAGCAGAATCCTTATTTTTTTTTTCTTAGAGCTGATTGAACTGGACCGTCCCACATCTCAGGTAATTGTTAAAAGTTTTCTAAGCTATTTAAAAATGAGCGGATTTAATAATGATTCTTCTTCTTCGCGTGTCATACCAGAACTATCCGACGTTGGCGATCACCATTGCGCGAAGGCTTCTCGATCTTCTGCAATATGGAATAATTGTCCTGCATTTGGTATCTGAGTCCATTCACGAATGTTTTTTAATCAAGAAAAACCTTTTTGTTATCTTCCTACACCTCTACGGCCCTCTTTTTGCCTTTAAGGAATAGTTGTAAAATTTTATATCGACTTTCGCTTACTATGTCCCAGATAAGACATTTTTCGATGTTTAACAGTCTTTAGCAGTTCTCTGTCTTTGTTAACGTAATAATGATTACTTAGAAGAAAATTTTGTTTCATTTACAAGTGACGGTGCCAGCGTTATTTTTTGTAAAAAGTCAGGTGTATCTAAAAGATTGCTTGAGATGTACCCAGATATTATTGTTTGGAATTACAGGAATCATAGACTGGAGCTAGCCTTAAGTGATGCAGTTGATGTAGTTAAAGCCATAAATCATTTTCAAATATTTATGGATAAAATATACTCCATTTACAGTAAGTCACCGAAAAACCAGCGTGAACTCTCCGAGTGTGCCTTAAAGTTGGAACTCCAAAAAAATTAAAAAAATTTTAGTGACTCTATGGGTTGCAAGGTTTTATCGTGCTGTGTGGTATTGTTAGTCTGGTATTTAAGACCACTTTGAAAAGGTAAAGACAGACAAGAACAGAAGTTCTACTGAAAGATCTATGTACAGTGTCCTATCAAGGCAATGTTCATCATTACAATTTCTGTTAAATTTAACCATTATGTATGACATTTTGGCATAACTTTCAATGCTTTCTCAGGCTTTGCAAAACAGAGAAACTACTGTTGTTTATGCTGATAAATTGATTAGAAAAAGCATTAAATTTTTTGAAACTCTAAAAGAAAAGCCTGAAACCAAGAGGATTGAGGCTTACATTGCTGAGAAGGATAGTCATTTCAACCATATTCCCATTACAAACAATCCAAAAATTGCGATCATCAATTACAAACAACTGATAATAAGTGTAATAAACAATTTATCTAGAACAATGTTATCTACTAAATGTAGTCAAGTATCTTCTATCTAATTTAAAAGTACTGGAAACTGATCAGTACCCAACTTAACAATCAATACGATATGGGAAAGGAGAAATTCAAAATCTCTGCAAAAAGTGTAAGCTTAATAAAACCAAAATAACAAACTGGTTTCGAGATTATATCGAGGGCAATTCACCTTCAGGAGTATCAAAAGATCCCATGCCGTTGTTTAACAACACTAAACTGATTCCATGTACCACATAATGAGTGATTTGCGAACTAGACTCCTAACCAGACATGTTTCAAGCCTTAGGTTTATAAAACAAAATGGACCAAGTATAAACGAGTGGAATGTGGAACCCTCTGTAAACACGTGGTTCAGAAGACACTGTAATGTAAATATAGCAAGAAAATAAAGAAAAAAAAAGGGGTAGTAGCCTAGAGAAGAGTAATAATTATGTAAATAATTATTATATATTCCAAATTAAATAAAGAATAAATTCGATACAGTTAACGTATAGATTTTAAATTATACAAAGAATAACAATTTGACCTAGTTTGACACAAGCCTGAATGTTTAAGAATTACGAAATCTGATGACGTTCGTGGAAAATAATACAACGAAGCGACACACCATCGCATGATCCATTCTGACACGTGGAACAGACAGCAGAATCAGCAAAAAAAAACTAGGAATGTTCGCGGGACATAAAAACTAAAAAATTGGTCAACCAGTCAGTATTAGCTCGGCACCCGTGCATGCTGAATGCCAGAAGCGCGGGTGATCGGGGAAATAATTACGCGGCACCAGCGAGTGCGCTATTGTATTTCGACGGGATAATAGTATCGTATAAGTA